AAAGGATAGTCTTTCAAACACATACATCCAACACAAGACAAATAAAAGCTTTAAAGATGCTCCTACTCTCTAAGACCTTAATCATTCATTTGATTTAAGGTGTATTATTCTTAGGAGCTATATTCTTCATTTACTCACTATCATAATGATAACGATTGAAAAACCGTTATTTTTAGACTAAATTTTGATATTAAAAACACCCTTTATGACTTAGAAACTAGCTTGAAATCATGCTTTTGCTTAGGTTGTGAGAATAAGAGAGTTGAAGGTGGTATTATTGGTTTTGTGCTTGTTTTTCCTTGTTTTGACAGGAATTAAGATGAATTGGATGAAGAAGTTGAAGTAGCAAGTAGCAAGGAGCTGGAGTCAGGAAAGGCTGGAAAAGTGGCACATAGAAGAATCGTAGATAGCGTTGAGCGTTAGTTTGAGGCGCTGAGCGCCAATTTGGAAGTGCAACCACTGTTTCACGCCTGGGCGCCACCACTGAGCGCCAATTTGGTTATGCAACCACTTTTTCACGCTTGAGCACCACCACTGAGCATCATTTGAGTGTCACAGCTACCGCTGAGTGCCTTTATGGGGCGCTGAGCACTGACGACGTGGGCTTGGACCTATTTTATGTTATTTTTATAAGTTATTTAAGGTTTTGGACATTCTAGGGTTCATATATTTTGACAGAAAGAGGCGAAAACACACTCCTTTCACCCCTTGGAGGCGAATTTTGGTCGCGGAAGCTCCGATCTTCAACTTCTAGGGTTTTATCTTTCATTATTTTCCATATTTTCATTTAGTTTTACCATGTCTATGGTGAACTAAACCTCCATTGTTGTTGGAGAAACGATGTAATCCTTTGAAACTCTCATGTATAGAATTTATTTATATTATAAATGCTTTACTTCATTAATTGTTAGGGTTTTTCCTCTACGCTCTATGCATGCTTTGTTTAACTCATTCAATTGCATGATTATTGATTTTGTCAATATGGACACATATGGGAAAATCTAGAACTGGGGAAATTCTCCCAAACGCAATATTACCTAGACATAGGGATAGGAGGGTTGGTTGCCTTTAAGCTTCTGCGCAAATGTAATGCATAATTAATTGTTGGGGATACAAGACATTGTGAACTAGTAATTAAGAGTAGGCTTTCTTCACCGAGACATCGGGTTTAAGGTAAATTAGAAAGTGGGAATTAACCAGTAATGAAGAAGATTAATTCATAAATACATGAGAGTGGATAGGATAAGTCGGAAACCCCAACAACATAATCATTCCATACTTTATATCAATCACTTGTGCCTTCTTCAAGTCAATTGATCAAAACTTACATTTATATTTATTTTTTGCACTATAAACACTATGATTTTGTTCACGAGTCTTAATTAATCAAGAAACCATATGAATGTCTAGGCCGTGAGTCTCTTGGGAAACGATAACTTGGTATTACCATTTATTATTACTTTATACGATTCGGTACACTTGTCGGAGTGTTAACACATAACAATTGTTCAATTTGTGTTATAAGATGGGTATTTGACCCCGGTGGAAAAGAGACATAATGACTCCAAAGAAGATTAGGAAGTTTGCCTTAGCCCAAGTTGAAGATTTGAGGGCAAATCATTTTCAAGAGGGGGAGGATGATGACATACGCCGATGATGGCATACCCCCTAGCCATGGTCAAACATCTATAAGAAGATTTGAAGTCATTTATGAAGATGGTCTAAACTCTATCTTTTGGACCACCTTTGAAGCCATCATGGAGCCTAACTTGGAGTACTATGGGTTTAATTTAGGCCATATATCTCGGCCAAGTAGTATAGGTTTTTTAAGGCTTATATTAAGGCCTCATTAGCGTAGAATTTTTCCTTAAGCTAGACATCCAAACCATGTGGAAAATATGTGTCATGTGTCATGCTTCCATTAGAGAGGATTTAGCTTTAATAGTGGTCACATGACATTCTAGGAATGGAGAGAATTTTTCTTTATGAGTGACCACATGTCCTCCCCTCATTGGAGAGGATTTGTGGAAACTTGTCCACTCTTTAAAAGGCTTCATTTTCGGCCAATGACTGCAAAGGTGAAAAATCATTTTTTTAGGATTTTTAAAAGACACTCTTGTCTATAATAGATAGAGGTGTCTAGCTGATAGTTTCCGTATTTACAACCTCTATCCTTAATGATCCACCTATCCATTGCATCCTTTTAACTTTGACCCAACATAGCTAGGAGATTGCTATCATTATCTAATTGAATTTTTAATTCAATTAACTATCTATATAAACAAATTTTGTATTCAACAATGTGAAATATATTTTTTTCTTCAAATTTTGCATTTTAAATTAGTGTTAAGTATGTTTTTAGTCTCTAAACTATCAAACGTTTTTGGGTTTAGTCCCTCTTCCAAACTTTGTTTCACTTTCATTCTTCTCCTTAATGAAACTGTAATTTTTAGTCCTAAAAAACGAACGACATTAAATTTTCAGTGAACTGACTAACAATGTGTCACGCATGTCACGTTAGAAATTGAAAATCTGAAATTCAAGTGAAAATGCTTTGGTCATTTTCTCTTCCTCGTTACCATGGCTAACGACCCTCCTCCCTCTCTCTGCCTCAGCCTCCACCCCTGACACCATCACATTCGTCCCAGCCTTCCACCTCGACCCCACCGTCCTCTATCGCCTCTTCGGAAAGCTTTTCATCCTCGTTCTCTCCGTCTACAACAGCCCAATGGGTTGTTCCTGCTGGGTGCACGACGCCAAGCTGTTGGGCCGAGTTCATATCACCTTTAACCTCTCTCCTTCCCTCTCTTACTCCAATACCTTCCATAGCGGTGGCTCAACCTAGTTGGGTTGACTTTGAACGTGTGTATTATAGTTTATAATAATGTTAATTTTAAGTTTTGTGTTAATTAGAGAATAGATCTTTTAATGTTTGTCTAATGTAGTTAGCAGGAATCGCTTACTGTTTCTATTTTGCAGCAGGTTTGGGACCGAAGGGGTTTGACTCTAATAGAAGGATTAGTCTTGTAACATGATAAACTTATTATTTGTTAAAAGAGATACTAATGTTCAGTGTGTGATATGCTTTTAAATAGAACTATTTTTGAAGGAAGGCAAATTTAAGAAAAGATAGATATGGATTTAGGGTGATGTGTGAGACAAGAAAGAATATTGAATGAGACACTCATGTGGTGTGATTTGTGAAACTGAGACTAGACTTGTGATCTGTTAGGAGAAAAGTACATTCCGGAGATAAATAAGAAAAATAAACGAAATTTGTTTACTTTTATTAGCTTCCTAATAAAACATATCCTTGATGGTTAAAGTCAGTGTCTAGCATATATAATCCAAGGATTGTTTGGGATAAAAAGTTACTGCAGTTGATTTACTGGAATTCTGGGGATGTGACAGAATTTTTGTGTATAGGTTTTATGTAATCATCTAGTTTCAGTGATGTTCAATTATGTATTGCACACTTGTTTGTTCATTCTTTTTAATTTTTCCTGCTAATTTAGAATTGCTTGTACCTCATACTCACAATAAGTGCCTTGCTAAAAATTGTAATCTTCATTTATCCACTGTTGGTTATATATCCTTATAGGTTACTGTTATTTCTTTACAGAGTTTGACATTACACAACTACTTCGGAGAAGGAACAGACATGATAGGAGTACCAACCAAGATGCTGACAGTAAATTGCTCAGTGAGAATGAAAGTGCATAACCCTGCAACTTTCTTCGGCATTCATGTCAACTCTAAGCAAGTAATCTCATGTATTCAGAGATCACAGTAGCATCTAGTGAGGTAAGAAAATAATCTTTAATATCAAAGACTGCCACTACTGTTTGATTTAGAAGGGTTGGTTTGAGAGTAATGTTATAGTTTTGCTTCTAATGTTGATAATGACCACCACTCTTAAGTGTTAAATTCCATGTTTACATACACATTGTTGCAGCTGAAGAAGCACTATCTACCGAGAAAGGGTACACGGAATGTGTCTGAAAAGCATAAAAAACGAAGTGAATATTCTCACCCAAAACTTGGAGTCAAAAACACGTACTCAGCACTTTCAAAGACTGACAAATTTGAGGCAAAAGATGAAGGAGAATAAAACAAACTGATAAACTAAAAAATATTCAGAAGATCCAGGAACTAATCTCTCAAATTCTTCATCTCCACATCTAATGAAGCTAATATTAGTTACATCACATGGTACATAACACCCGCAACTAATACATTCCTCCAATTCTATCTCGTCCCATACCACGCCTATCATCTCTTCCACGGCTGACAAAGGCATTTCCACGGCCTCTGTTATCCCAGTCCAGTGGAGGTGGTGGTCTATCAAACTTGTTTCTCCCCTGTAGGCATCTTCTATGCAATCAGTGAAAAGTTAACGGTGAGATGAACTTGGCCCAACAGCTGCGCCGCACACCGAGGGAACGGCCCATTGGGCCCTTGTAGATGGAGAGAACGAGGATGAAATGCTTTCTAGAAAGGCTAAGAGGTGGTGGTGTCGAAGGTGAAGGCAGAGGTGACTTTTAACGTAACACTTCGTTAGTCAGTTCACTCATTTGCTTTTAAAGACTAAAAATTACAGTTTCAACAAAATTTGAAAAAGATAACAAAGACTAAAAATATATTTAACCATTTAAATTATAAATTTTATATTTTAGATTATACATTCTAAAATATAATCTAGAATACAAATTTGTATTCTAAAATGTATAATATAAAAGTGAAAATAGAAATCGTAAATAAAAAGTGAATTTGGAATTTTTATGTTTATAGGGGAACCCATTGAAATTATGGAGTGCACGAAAAACCTACCTTGTTTGTGTTAGTGATTGAGACTCGTGTGCATTGTTTTGTTGGAGCAAAGGAATGAAGAGAAAAAGAGGAAAGAGGGGAAAAGGTTTAATAAGTAATCCTACAAGTTACAGCGAATGTTTATAAACAGAAGCAAAATCATGAAAAAAAGACTGATGAAGGAATGAAAAGAATGATTAATCTCCCTCATACATAAAATACGATTAAGTCGAATTAGACAAAGTTAGAATAATTAAATAAATAACACTGCGTAATAAGTAACTCAATGTAACCGAAAAACTCAACCATGGTTTATCATAACATTGGTATTATAAAACATTCACCATATCTATATCTGGAAGTCAGCCTATACAGCTGCCTTGGTAGCACTGGAAATCTTGGACCTCCTCTTGGCCAAACTCTCACTGCGGCGTTCCCTCTGCTCCTTCAATCTGGAGGCAAGAAGTTTCTGATACTCAGCTGCCTCTGATTTTGCCTTGGCAATTCTCTTTTTCTTATCAGCAATCCGTGCCCGCTTCCTTTGGAGAGTGAGAGGAGTGACTAGTCTTTGAATCTTTGGAGCTTTGCTCACCTTTTTCCCTGCAACCATACGTTCAAACCCATTCAGACTATAATCCATCACAAACTACGTTTCTTATCCAGTGTCCCAAAGGGACCATAGCCTAATTATACCTCAAACTCTTCATTTCAAATTGATACAAGGATCTGGCATATAGTTTCTTAGCAGGCGTGCATCATCAGAGCATTTTCTTAAAGGGTAAAACTTCATTCGGGAAGTGGGCGAGAAAATTATATATACTTCAACAAAAATTTAATACCATTCTGATAAAATATATTGAGACAAGAAATTGACCTTAAAATATTTAATGCAAAGCAAGTCAAGCAACATCCCATTCAGTCAACATGAAACAAAGAAAACTTTAGGATCTATCAAAAACCACAATTTCAATAATCAATAAGAATAACATCGTGTTTCAATGTAACATACTATGTAATAAGGCCGCCGATTAATTTTTATGGAAATCATTTTGCTGTACAATTTAAGAAATGATCTTTGGAGAACTCCTACAATCAACCATGCATGAAGTATATCTGCCGGTAATACAAATGTACATCAACATAAAATAAAACAGCTATGGGTAACAGATTAGTTGTCAATAAATGTATGTTCGGTAACAGATTAACATCATTTTGTTTACATATAAACATGATCCCTTTCTCTAGTTCAGAAACATAGTCAATTACAAAATTAAATACAGGATATATGTCATTGGAACTTTACCTGCTTTTGTTGTAAATGTCCGACGGTAGGTGTTGACATACTTCCTAACATCATCCTCTTTAGAAAGGTTGAACAGTTTCCGGATTTTGGAGGCTCTCTTTGGCCCTCTCATCCTTGGCTTCTCAACGTCAGTCAATCCTGGCAAGTCATTTTCTCCCTTCTTCACAATTACCAAGTTAAGCACAGATAGGTCAGGGCTGACAATGCACCCACGAACAGACTTTCTCCTGCGCTCTCCATTACGCCTTCCATATCCACGGAAACATGGAGTTCCTATTCAAGAAACGGAATAGATTTTAAAAAATAAAGTTCTTAAAGGCAGAGAACCAAAAATGGAACTGATTTTAAATACAAAAAGGGAACAGTACAAGTATATATAGAGTACTTAAATCATACCCCTATGAAGAAGCAGGCGAACCCGACCAGGGGTCAGCACTCCCTGCTTCATTGGGAATCCTTGTTTGTCACAGCCTCCAGTAATTTTGAATACATAACCTTTAAACTCCTGTTGGCAACAAAAGAATAGATGAAATAATCACTAAAAATCAAGCAAAACTTTGGTTCACACATTTAAGGTTTGAAGCTAAAGGGCGTACATACCTCCCCAAGTGCATCTCCATTGACCTCCTGTGAGATCCTCTTGTCCCAAAATGCTCGTCTGTAATTTGAAGTTGGAAATACTTTAGTATGAAGACAAGTTGCATGACCAAAAGAACATATGACACGAGCCTCATATAAAGCTTTTAACATTTTTTTAAAATTTAAATTAAATTCATTTATTTGTTTTATTTCCTATAGTGATCATCAAGTTTACGGAGGATTAATACAAAGATACTATTGGAACTAGAAAGATATAAATTGCTCATAAATTTCACACACCAAAACGATTAAAATTTCAACAGATTCATTTATAATTTCACGTGATATGCAAGGTACTCGTTGCTAATATCCCACATTACATATATATA